CGACTGGGGCGATGGTCTGCCTGTTGAAGCCCTGGATCCGCTCCCGGCAGGGCTGCACTTCCTTCCTATCGATCCCCATCTTCTTGAAGGTCTCGTAGTAGAGGATGCTTGCGTAGGCCCCTGTGTCGACCATGATGCGATGGATTTTTATCGCCATGATCGGCGCCGTAATCACCAGGGCGTCGGAGTGGGGGTGATCAAACAGGAAGGCGTCCTCATCGGTAAAGGTGATGGTGTTTGGGGTCGGCTCTGGCGCCGGCCTGCTGTTGGCGTGCATCACTCTCTTTCCGGCATGGTAGGCCTGTCGGGCATAGGCCTTGGTTTGCCTCCTGGAGAGGAGGGACTCGCTCCGGCTCGTGTTGACGCGCCGGGTTTGCTAGTTGGCCGGGTCGACCCCAGTTCGAGGGGACCGATCTCTCTTCCTGCCCCTAGAGGTGCCGGCCTCATCTTGGTGGGTGGGGCAGAAAGTCATGATTTCGTGCGGGCCACCCTGCTGCGGCTTCTTCCTTCGAGGATTCACGTCGGCATCCTCTTTGCTGTCTGGGCCTTCCTCGAAGCGGCCCCCCTTCTTCCTCTTCTCTCCGGAGTGGGTGAACCTCCGGAGTTGGGGATCGTCGATGAGTTTGAGCAGCGCCGAGATCAGGTTTCGGCACTGGTCAGTGTTGTGCCTGTGTGCCTTATGGTAAGAGCAGTAACGGGTCTTATCCACCTTGTCTTTGTCGGTGAACATCGGTTTGGGGTCCGGTAGCAACCCCTTGGCCTTGATCTCCTCGTAGACCGCCGCGGCTCCTACCGAGAAGACGCCTTGGTAGCTTTCCTTCAGCTCCTCGGCCCTTTGTCTCCGCTGAGCCCGGATTTCAGCGAACGACTTGCTCGGTTTCCCCGATTTTTCTTCCTTCGACTTCGCCTTCGTTGGTGCCGGCGCGACGTCGAAGGTGGGGATGAAAGAGGATTCCTCCGCCATTATGTAATCTTGGGCGCGGGCGAGGAACTCCTGGTAGGTGGTCGGCTTATTCTGGCACAGGGACCACCTAAACAGCGTCTTCGGCCTCAAGCCGCCCTGAGCGGTGATCAGCAGGGCGTCGGGATGGCATCGCTCCATGTTTTGGACTCGGTCGTTAAACCGAGCAATGTAGTCCTTGAGGCTCTCGTTCTCGCCCTGAACGATATTGGAGATGGACTCTTTGGGGGCGAGGTTGACCTGCGATCCGATAAAGTGCGATCGGAACGCCGACCTGAGCTGGGCCCAGGTGGAGATGGAATGTGGGTAAAGAGAATGATACCACCTCTGCGCCTTTGGCCCAGTGTCAAGGAGAACATGCGGCAACGCAGGGCGTCAGAGGCGCCGTGCAGGTCCATCCACGAAGTGTACAGGCCGATGTGGGAGTCTGGGTCTGAACTTCCATCATAGAGGCCGAGCTGGGGGACTTGGATCTGCTTCGGGACGGCCTCTCGTAGGATGTCGGGAGAAAGAGGCGAGGCGTGGTCCACGACCCGGGGAGTGGGTCGCGTGCGAGTTTGTGGATGAGCTGGGAGTGAAAACTCACTCCCGGTGGGCTGCCGACCTTCCAACTCGGCAATTCTGCGTTTGAGGGCCGCGACTTCTTCAGTGTCGTGCCCGATGGCTTTGCCCCGCCTGATCACCTGCCGGAGATCATGGTTGGCTTGGCTCTTGTCACCCAAGCGCTGATGGACTGAGCGGCGAACGACCTGGAGGCTTCGCTTTGGCCGGCTCTCTCCTGTCTGCTCGGTAGGGGCCGGTCTGGTTCTTTTGTCACGGCGGTTCTGAGCTTCGCGGTTCGGCGACTGAGCCGTGGTTTTGGATTTCGCCCGGTTCCTTTGTCCGCTGGTCTCCTTCTCGGGAGTGTGGAGCAAGGTGTTACCGGGGTTCTCTGTGGGCACCACAGTGTTTGCCCCGGCGGTTTGACTGGCGAGGGCCTTGGCGAAGACTCCCTCGAGGGCTTTGAGGACATCGGGGTGCTGCAAAGCCACAGCGAAGGTAGGGACTGGTGGTACTGGGACTATATGTCCCTACTGAGCACGACGGGAGGTTTCTCCGCCGTTACGGCCACGAGGATGGGAGCCAGACTGCTGGGTGGAGTCGTCACGATCAGATGAAGGCATTTTGAGTTGCTTTTGGAAGTGAAAAGAGTAGGGAAGAGATGAGTGCGAAGTGAAGCTTCACAAGATCGAAAAATTGACACCAAGTAACTTATGGTGCCTCCTTCTAGCGCCAAACTGTTGACGGACGTTTCCGGTCAACGGTTAAAAAGTAAGGTAACGAAAAGATAATAGGAGAAAGACAAAGAATTATGCTTAATTACGATTTTATTAAAAGATCACGAGGTCGGCCTCTCGTATGAGGTCGGCACTTGCGATATACTTATAGTTTCTTACACGAGTTTCTTACAAGTCTAGAGAGAGAAAGTATAGAAAAAGCTTTTACAATTGGGATTTCAACAACCCAAAATAAATGAAGTGGGCTGCTATTTATAGTGGCCTTAAATGTGACACTGTTCACCAGTCTTATCGTACAGTGTTCTTGCAGAGCAGTTCGGCGCCTCCCTGACAGCTTTTAATGCGATTTGAGGTTTTCCTCATCATTGCCTGGCAGACATTTAATGCATACAAGGGATCATTTAATGCTGTCAGGCTTTATGTCCTGGCTAGGGAAGGTAGGTCAGCAGGCTAGGATGCCCCGTCCAATCACCAATGATCACCCTCCAAGTGGCATTATTATACTATTATCGAGATCGGCATTCCTCTTTGTGAGGGTCCGTTCTGAGACCCCAGGTCGGCATCTTTTCCCAGTTTGTTCCTCCAGTTACGGAGAGCCTTCTTCCAGATCGTCGTTTCCCAGGCCGGCACCTGAAGCATACTGTCTCAAACGCCGGGCTAGCGGACAGACTCATTGGGCGTCAAGGTAAAAAAATATCCCGGTCCAGCTCGGCACTTACTCACCGGACCGGGTCTCCAGTTCGACTCCCGAACTCGGGTGTCAACATTTTATTTGAGTAAAAATACTATGTCATCGTTTAGGTTGTGTACGACTTAAGAGTAGCCTGAGCGTCTCAAGTGACCGGTAGGTCGACCAGAGGTCAGACAACAAGAAGACTCGTGGTCACGAGTGCGCTAGGTCGGTGATGGCCTATGAGGTAAAGCAATTCAGTGACAGGTTGAGCTAGGGCTCTTGGTTAGCCTGATGGAAACTCGACCTAGAAGTGAAGAGGTCTACATAGGCCCTAAAAAGTGGACATGCTTACTAAAGAATAAAATGATCCAATTCAAGGAGAATCAAGTTGGTAGCACAATTACGCTTAAAGCAACTACCAAATTATGAGGTAGGCTAATGTAAACACACTAGATAATGGATAATTGCAAATATAACTAGAATAAGAAAAGTGTTGACAGCAGAGCTAAACAACGGATGTTAAGAGAAAATTTGCGCTAAGTACTTCATACTAAACCGAGGTCGGCTATATGTCACCTATTGACTACGAGTCGGCAAATCAACCGCAAGAACCAGATCGACACATCGTTAAGGCGAAAGAAACCACAAGGCACACAGACCAGACCAACCTAGGCGCACTGTGGACATAGATAATAATAAAAAAAGCCTCGCATGTGCCCAAATAATGACCTATGGGACATGACCGCCTAATCCCCGCAACTCTATCGACCCTAGATGCATAGATTAATTCTAGTGCCTCATTAAATGCGCCCCATACTAATATCATGTTTGATAGTGGCAAGGTGAACAGTAGTGCACGGTGAACAGTTGTCGAGGGTCTCCTACTATAAATAGCGTACGAGAAAACTTGTGAAGGTTGTTGAAAATTTGAGAATCATAGAGACATATATTCTCTCATTTAATATTACATTAATATCAAACTGAGTTAAAAACGGTGACGACCGACTTGGTCGTCTGTTATTATTTTCTTTCGTTTACTATTTCTCTTTTCGATTTATGTACAAATTCTTCGCGAAAGACACTTATATTAATCCTGATCTAACACCGTTAAACCAAATTTAACCTATTTAACTCGTTGATTGAAAACACTAATCAACAGTTTGGCGCTAGAGGAATGCTCCATAATTTGTTTGGAGTCAACTTTCGACTTGTCAACACCCGGATTAGAAACTTTCACTCTCGTTTTCTCTTTGCTCTACAAAAGTCACTGAAAAATGGTGTCGACAAGTGATGAATCGTTTTCGCAACCTTAGCAATAAAAATAGCAAATGGAGCAACCACGTACTGCCACACCTACGCGCGTTACTACATCTATACGTGCCCCTATGCCTACGCGCAACGCCGCTCCTCTGATAAACTTTGCAGTGGCATTCCAGGATCCAGATTTTGTAAAAGGAATGGAGAGCCTTTTAGAGAGAATTGTGAGAACGTGCATGAGCCAAGCCCCTGCAATGGAAACACAAAGGGCACCGACAATGAATCTGCTGCAAACGTCGGAGAAGATGAATGCTCAATCCACTAGTGACAAGGGGAAGGGCGCGCAATAAAACACTACGACCAAATCCCCGAATCGAAAACAAGCTCCGATGTTGTTTTCCAAGTAATTCCTGTTGTTCAAGGACGGTTTGAGGGACTGTATCAATAAATTTTACGAAAAGCTTTTGTACAACTTGATTTTCTTTCGATAATCGATTTTGGGAGTACAATCTCTATATGTTTCATTTGATTTTTCTCTTCTTGGACTTTGATTTGATCTTCAAAAGAATTTGACAATTGGATCTCCTTTGGGCCTAATCTTGAATTTCTCTAATATTAATTTTAGGGTCAAATGACTTATTCTCGTACGACTTATTCTCGTACTAAATGTTAGGTCTTGATTTGATTGAAGATGACTTATTGACGGTCTTTCTTATTTGATCCTTCTTGGATCATTCTGGGATATGATAAATTTGGACATGAAGGTCGATTTCTTCTTTGATCTTTCTTGGCGAAGGATTTGAACTTGTGAATTGAGAGAATATTTGTAAAATATACACCAAAAAATTCTCACTTTCCATTCATTGTGTAACGTGGATCACATAAAGAAACAATATACATCCCAAAGGTACATCTCTTGGCCTGACAATTTTAATCATAGCATTCATATTGTTTTTCAACAAACTTATTAAAGACACACCCACACACTCAAACACAAAATCATTATACTTCCAAATCACACTCAAACACAAAATCATTAATACTTCCAAATCTTTGGAGGTTTGGACGCTTTTGTCTTCCAGTCTTCTCACACCCATTATTTTTTAGTGGGCCCATCCCAAGACTCTCCAAAACATTAATATAAAAGTGTATGTTTTTACATATCCCGGCCCAATAACCACTGGGCCCTAACACTCGGGTGTGAGCTTGTGGTCACGTTGTGGATCACCACAATAATCATAGACCATGTAATTGTTCTGGGCCCACGCCATGGCCGCATACTGCTGGCGGCTCAGCCCTGTGGCTCCAGAAGGGGAGCCAGAGGCCAGCTGGCTTATCTTGAAATTCTTGAACTTGCCAACAAAAGGTTGGTAACTGTAGTCAGCTCTGTATTTTCCATTCTCTGTGGCCCAATCAGAGGCATCCCATATGGATCCATAAATCCACATGGGCCTTGTAGGGAATGGGGCCTCATATTTTTTAGGATATGATCTGATTGGCACATCGTCTACAAAAAATCTGCGGGTCCACATCATGTGAAAGGGCCCAATTAGAGATACGTAAGGGGAAGTGGAAAGCCCAATTTGAAGAAAACTTCATTTGATGTATATAGGGTCCAGGATTATTCCTCTTTTTTGTTCTTACAAAAAAGATAATCAGATTTTTCTTTCTTGTTTTTCTTTATTTTCTGTTAATCTTTTTTAATAAGATAAACCGTACTCAATCAAAAATATTTTTATCATAATCAAAAATATTTTTAATAAGATAAATCGATTTTATCATAATCGTCTTTAGATATATTTTTTTTTTCAATCAAAAATAATATTTTCAACTAGCCTTTTATTTTTATTATTGTTAGTGTTGTTATTTTCATAAAATGAAAATAGTAAAACAAAATACGAAATTAGTGGTTAAGACCCAAAATGCATGGTGTACCTAATGTCTAACTACTTCCAAAGAGGGGCAGAAAACAAAACCACTTGAAAGTTGAAGCCAAAGTTAAAAGGGGCAGAAAACAACCACTTTAGTAAATAAAATATGTGATCATTACACATAATTTAAATGTCGCACAACCCCACACCGATTTTCAGTCCCCCAATCATACTAATTTGTGTGATGTACGAAATGTCATTCATGTCCTCTTAAAGGCTAAGAGACAATACATTTATGTAATGTTATTATTCTATTTCAAAATAGTATTAATACTCAGACTGTCTAATATATACGTACGTACCTTATGATATTTGAACGAGAAAATTTCAAAACTAGTCCCACATGTATAGAGGGTGACAATTTTGGTCCCGATGTAATGCAGAAAATATGATAGTCCTATAGGTTTTAAAAAATGATCAAAAGTAGGACTTTTTCGTCGGATTTACTATTTCTGGCCCGGAACGCCACGTGACGCACACGTGGCTTATTTTTTACACGCTGACATCCGGCGTGTTCCTATTTTTTTACAAGTTGTGGGACTAGTTTTGAATTTTTTCCTATCTACGTCGGATGCCAGCGCGTAAAAAAATAAGCCACTTGTGCGCCACGTGGCGTTCCGGACCGGAAATAGTAAATCTGGCGAAAAGTCCTACTTTTGATCAGTTTTTAAAAGTTGTGGGACTCATATTTCTGCATTCCGTCGGTACTAAAATTGTCACCCACCCTATACATGTGGGACTAATTTTAAATTTTTTTCCATATTTGAACCTACTTTTTTGTAAGAAACCCTTTACCACTATTCTAAAGCTCGATTNAAAAAAAATATCATATTCCAACGGAAAATTCTACTATAAAATATTTCAATGGAAATTCTGTTGGAATATACAATTTTTATTGAAATTTTATCTCTCCAACGCCCATTATTCCAGTGGTTTTTTATCGTTGCAATATACAATTTCCGTTGAATTTTAATTTTCACCCATATATCAATCGTTGAAAAATGTACTTCCAACAGAAATTCCAATAGAAAACTCACTATAACAGAATATTTTTGTTAGAATTTTCGTTAGAATCCATTAAAAAAATCCAACAGAATTAATAATATTAAAATATCCATTATAATTGTCGTTGAAATTTTTCATTGAAATTTCATCACATTCTTGTAGTGTTCACATAATATTTTTGTTGGAACTTCCGTTAGAATCCATTGAAAAATTCCAATGGAAATAATAACATCGAAATATCCATTGGAATTGCCGTTGGAATTTTCTATTGAAATTTCATCACATTCTTGTAGTGTTCACTGCAATATATAATAGAAGTGAATAAGAATGATAAATTTTAATAATTTTGTACATAATATTTGATTGAGACTTACATGATTTCATTGGGATTCCAGAGGATTGCATAATGGTGAAAATCCTGTGTTGGATCAAACCAAAGGTGAAATTTCATTTCTCGTCCTATAACGTTGCCATCCCCACTGCCCCTAATGTAAACATTTGTTTGAAGAACATAAGGCTGCCCATTTATGTTGCCCAAAAGCTCTATGTCTATCTCATCATGATCACCTGGATGGGCCTCATTGTTTGACAACTGCCAATATATTTCCAACCACCATATATACTTATTAATAATTACAGACATTCAAATATATATTTCAAACATATAAAATATAATATCCTCTATTTATGTAATGTAATACAAACACCATTAATTTTGAAGAGTCTCACATAGAGCGATGTATCGACTCCGGCAGTGTAGCCAGAGTGAACCTTGATCGATGCACCAAAATAACCAGAAGAATAAGAATTCAACGACTTAAATCCGCTGCCTGCAAAAAACGCAAAAATAAATAAATAAATAAATAAATAAAATGCACGATATAATAAGGGTCATTGTTTATCACCAATATTACTACTGTTAGGTAGTCTATCCGTTAGTCGATCATATTTTTGTTAAAAAATGTAAATTCATACTATTTTTATTAGAAATTGTATTAGAAAAAGGTGATACACATAAGCATAACTAAGTGATGAGAACATTAGAATACATAATGATGAATACCTGAGGTTTTGTCGAGCCAAATAGTTAGTTCCCCTTGGTCGAGCCTTTGGTGCTGAGGACCCCATAAATTGGTAAAGCCTTGCTCGAACCCTATAGAGCCCATTCTCGAGCTTGGGTAGTATCCAGGTGAAGGTGGGCCCTCACCATTGTTCCCCAAAGGGAACAAGAAAAGCAAGATGAGAAAAACAAGGAGAGCCATAATACGTACCAGTGTACCTACTGCAGTATTGCTAGTGCCTGATTTAGTTTTTTTTTTAATCTTTTCTTTTGTGGTTTTTTTGAAGGGAGTAGGCAATGGTATAAATAAGAGGATTATGGGGTCCCACTTGAGAAATGAGAAAAATGCAGGTGATAAGGAAGTTTGTATGAAGACAAGAAAACGGTGCTATTTTTGTGATGTGAATTATTTTATTTATTAATCCCCACAAGAAATGATCATATGCATATTGGACCTTATCTTTTTTACTTTTTGCAATTTGCTTTGCTTGTCTCTGTTTGGAAGTGAGCTTGTTTAGTATGTGGGCTGTTAGTTAGAGGTGCTCATTTTCGGTTAAAGTCTGAGTACATGCACATGTGATGTTTGTGGTAAAAAGCCTAATAAAATGGAAAATTTACCTAAAAAACGGATGTACACGATGGAGTAATTTAATACGATCACACCAAAGTATTTCAAACTTGGGTTCACACGAGGAGAAAATGGAAAGTGTTACTATTAGTACTATAAATTTGTTAGCTTGGAGTTTACTCTCTCCGGCCCTTACTAACAATCAAGATTATTCAATCGTTTGTGGTACATTTTAGTACATGAATATTTACATTTTGTTCTCAATAGATTAAATTATTTTTAACACCAAAATATAATTTAATGAAATATACTATCTTACACATATTTAATTTTAATTTAAATGACCAATATTGATTGACAAAAATACAATTAAATATAATATTATTTACATTGATATTTATTAAAAGATTATTTAAGCCTTTCTTAAAACATCATAAAGTTACAGTGATTTCTCAACGGATAATCTAAGTCACAAAATTGTTACTATATATTTAACAAATTACAATAATATACAACAATGTATATATATATATCAAGACTGTTTTATTTAAAAAATATATTCAATAAATCAATTTTTTATATGTTTAACAAGATACAATAAGATACAACAATATAAATATCAAAATTATTTTATTTATAAAATTTATTCAACAAATATTTTATAACGCTTGCAAAAACATACAATCGATATATATGGATATCAATATTATTTCAACATACCATCAACATATATGGATGTCAAGATTATTTCAACAATATTATTCTTATAGGAAAATACTACAATCCCATTACGGAACCATTCCGTTGGGATTTGTAACCGTTAGATCATCAAGTAACCGTCAGTGATAATTGATCTAACGACTACAAATCCCAACGGAATGGTTCCGTAACGGGATTAATGTAGCCTTACCCATTCTTATAATGTTAGAAATCACTATAGATGTTTTTATATTTATATCTAGTAAAAACGTTTGTGTTTTTATATTTATATATTTTGTGTATGTTATATTTATATCTTTTCATATGTTATCTAGTAAAAATACTCATTGATTTTTTATAATGTTTGAAATCAGTAAATAAAACAAAATAAAATATTGTGGCACTATGTCTTTTACGCAATTTCTTGTCCTGAAATTTCTTCATCTCGCTAGGACGTGTGAAGCCAGCGAGTGGAGTTGAGAAAAGAAAGTTTCGAACTTGCAATCAACAGGACTACGGCTCGACCAAGGAACCTAACCCTATAGTCTAGCTGACTGGCTTGCATGCCTACAGCTTCATCACTAAATAAAACAAAATAAAAATTGTGGTGCTGGTGAACATTGTAGTGCCATATCTAGCGTTGCACTGTTGGTGCATTCGAAATAGCCTGAAAAATTATTGTTGTGATTGAGCCAAATATCGACACAACTTTGGCACAAAACACTACTCCGAAAATGAAACAAGGCACCTAGTTATCTATACTATTTAAGTAGGTATATATTAATATATTTTCTAAGTGAGATGCTGTAATATAAAATGCAACATAAATAATATTATGATAATTTTTAACATAAACATATATTTTTATTGAAAATGCAGGAAAGATTGACTCGGCTAATGGGTAGAACGCTTTCCATATATAAGTAACAAAACACAATTTTTTGTGTTAGCCGGCCTAATCAATAGGGGGGTCGACCGTCATACTTTTTTTTTAACAAAAATGTATACTTATGTTATGAAATTACATATTAATTTATTTATTTATTTAAAGTATAAAATTAAGATTAAAAGTATACAAATTTATTGAAAAAGTACGACGGCCTAACAGTAACTTACATGGAAGAAAAAAAAGGTTTGGGGACTGATTTACGTTGCTTTGAGATGCAATGTTAACCGGCACCTCCCCCGACTTCTCCCAATCCTGGTGAACCCGCAGCGCTTCCCCAGCCTCACTCTCTGGTTTAAAGCATGCTAAGCCCACCCCTGTAGCTTATCAATATTCGAATTTCTAGCTTGATTTAAGACAAACGTGTTATTTCGAACAGCGACAGGATCAAGCCATGAATATTACACGGCATTACCAATTTGGTTAGTCTTGGTAACGCAATTAGTGTTACTAACCAATTGTATGTAGTTTGGAGGTTGAAAAATTAATGCAAGACTCAAAAAATCAAAGGCAACATACTGGATATACGGAGCCGAGAAAAGATTTTATTGAATATTGTAATTATATATAATTCCTGTATTAAATCATAGGTGCTAGTGTGCTACTATTATTAATGAATGACGATATCCTAAGAATCGAGCATAATGCAATGAAACTTGGCAGATAAAATCATTGGAAAATCAACATCCTACGATAGTCTTTATTGTAGACCACATAAAATTATAGTGCTCATATACAATATATGACGGATTGATTAACTAAATTTAGTTGGAATCACTAATTTGATTAACTAAATTTAGTAGATGTACTTATATATCTAGGATCACGTGAATTGTTTTAGACCTTCTCTACCGATACGCAAAACGCATAAAATACAGTAAAAATTGACCAACATAATGCCAAACGCAATCTCAAAATGAGTATTTTTTATTTCTTGTTATTTATTTGAGAACGATAGGCAATACTCAATAACAAGAAAATAGTTCAAAGATACAATTGAAGAGCTAACTAGCCTTTAATCATCAAACCCAACCTGAGCACCACAACACCATGAGACCTAGAGAAAGAACAAGATTAATAAACTACAAGCTACAAACCAAGAAGATAAAGGCAAATACACACATTCGAATCCTTCACTTCCTAACATAAGCAACAGGAAAACTAACATAAACAAAGCTAACATCAATACTAAAGTTCAGAAAGAGTAAAACCAATTGACTAAAGGACCTAAGCTTTACTCATTCCCACCTTCAGTACCAATTCAGTCAATGTGAACAACCCCTGCATTCCTCTCAATCAGCCATAGCCAGTCTCACCACCTCAGCCTCACTTCTCCATTGTTTTTAAAACAACAACAAGTTCCTTGTTTTCCATATCCACCATAGGATATATGTGGATAGTTGGATTCTGATCTCAGCTACCTCCTTCTCCATTGAAGCAACCCATCACCACCAATACTTGAAGCTCTGAGTTTCAGATAAAGATTCACCCCAGCCAAGTGGAGTTAGCTTCCACACCAACTTAGTCCTTTGACAATGGAAGAAGATATGCTCCAGAATCTCTGGTGCTTCCCTACAACAATGGCATACATGGTCAACATCAAGGCCTCTTCTCAGAAGGTTGACACCTGTAGGCAAGGAGTTAGAGAAACATTTTCAGATTAGATGTTTAATTTTGCTTTTGATCTTAAACCTCTAACATCTTTCCGTGGCCACTCTATCTGTCTTACCCGAGTTGCTTCCTTCTGCTTTATCCACTTTAAGGATTTTCTAAATCATCAACTGAGCATAAGCCTTTGCAACAGAAAACTGCTCTCCGATCTTACCATTGCAGCATCATCTATCTCTTTTATCAGGGTTCAATGTCTTAATCTTTAGAATTGCTGCTACCTCAGGGGCTTCAAATACATCATCTAGAAGTTCCTTATTCCAACTTCTGCCCCCTTCATTCAGTAACTCAGCTGCCCTTACTACACTGCCCCTACCATGAGGCCTTCCCCTTGGAATTCCTAGATTAAGATCAAGAATCCATGGATCTCTCTACACTCTGGAAATTTTCCCATCTGCAACTTCCATTCTAAATTGTTCTTGGTAAGCCATTTTCACCCTCATCCAACTATTCCACATCCAGGAAGAGCTTGGATTTTTTAGCCTCAAAGATATTACCCTTTAGAATGTATCTCTCTTTTAACACTTTGCTCACCAATAAGTTGGGCTTTGTTGCTATTCTCCAGATTTATTTGAGTACTTCTCATTAAAAAGCTGCACATCTTGGAATCCCAACCCACCACAGTGTTTTGAAGTTTGCATCATTCTCTATTCTTTCCAGTGAACACCTGATTTCTGTGAGTCACCTGCACTCCAACAGAACTTGGCACACAATTGGGATATTTCTTGGCACGAACCTTTAGGAATACAGAAGCATGACATAATAAACCCAGGCATATCATTCAAAACTGATTTAATCAAGACCTCTTTCCTTGCAGAAGAAAGGTATTTGTTTTTCCTACTTTCTAGATTAGCCTTGACTGCATCAATCACAAAGCTAAATGACTCCTTCTTTGATTATCCAATTCCTAGTGGCATACTTAGATACTTGGATGATCTGTGCACTGATATCCCATGGAGAGTTTGGCAAATGCCCTGTTGAACTGCCTCAGGTGTGTTCTTGCTAAAGAATACTGATGATTTCTCCATGTTCACCTTTTGGCTTGTTAGTATCTCTGAAGTATTTGCAACGAACATACGGCTTGAGCATTGTTGGCTTCACAGAACATTAGTGAGTCATCATAAAACAACAAATTAGTGATCTCAGTTTCATTTCCTCCCATTTTCAGACCTTTGAAGTTTCCCAGCCTAACTTCACTGCCAATTAATCTTGAGAAAATTTCAGAAACTATAATGAACAAATAGGGGGATACAGGATCCCCCTGTCTGATACCCCTATAATGCTCCAGATAACTACACATATCACCATTAATGTTAAAGGAATAGGGAGCTATAGATATGCAAGGAAAAATCCATTTCACAAAAGGAGTGAAAACCAAGGCTCAGTAGAATCTTGATGATATAGTTTCACTCTATTCTGTGATCATAAGCCTTCATCATGTTCAATTTCAAAGCCATATAGTATTTATGTCCACACCTGTGTCTGTTCAGAAAATGTACCCCTCCTATGCCACTATCACATTGTCTAACAACTGCCTCCCCTTAACCCATGCAGCCTAGCTTTCACTAATAATCCTACCTGAGAAAGGTTTCAGTCTGTCAACTAGAATTTTCGACACAACCTTATAAGCCAATCCACACAAGCTAATAGGTCTGTAGTTGCTCAGGTACATAAGATTATTGCATTTAGCTATCAATGTAATCAATGTGTGGTTCCAGATTTTAATATTCGACCAGACTAAAAAAAACTACTAACTGCTTCACACAGGTCCTTCTTAACCACATCCCAAAAATTTTGAAAGAGTTGGGAGACATACCATCAGAGCCTGTGGCTTTATCTGGATTGAGATTGAACAAGGCATGTTCGATTTCTGGCTCTTCCACCTTGGCTATAAGAGTGTTGTTGTCTTCCACATATATGATCTTTGGTAAGAGCTGCAGTAGCTGATTTTCCCCCCAAGATCCTTTTGAAGTAAACATGTGATCATAGAATTCTAGAACACTCTTTACTACTTTTGATTCCCTGACCAGCCCATTCATGTCGGCAAGTCTAGAGATTGCATTGGTTTTCCTTCTCTGCAGAGTCAAAGCATGAAAGAACCTTGTATTATGGTCCCCTTCTTTCAACCATAGCACCCTTGATTTTTGTCTCCAAAAGCCCTCTTCTTTTTCATAGGTTCTGTCCAATTTATTTTTCAATTTGTCCCAAGTCAACCAATCTCTTTGACCTCCCTGTAATTTCAACTCCTCAAATTGTTCATCTAGTCTTTTAATTTTCTACTCATTATTGCTATGAAAACCCCTATTCCAATTCAACAGTTCCAGCTTGGTGGTTTTGATCTTTTCATGGACTCTAAACATGGGAGTCCCCTCTTGCTGCTGATTCCAAGCCTTTCTCAGCACATCACCTACTCCTTCCATCTTAAGCTATCTTTTGTCAAATCAAAATCTTCTATTTTTATTATTTCCCTTTTGTGGTTCAGAGTCTAAAATTAACATAAGATGATTTGAAGAGCTTCTAAACCAACTGTTAACCTTAGCAGAAAAATTTGTTCCCAACCACTCTAAAGATCCAAATACGCTGTCTGATTTTTTTCTAAATGTACCCCTCTTGATCCTTATTATTTCCCCATGTGAATGAATTGCCCAGCATATCTATCTCTAGCATCCCCATCCTTGGTATAAAACTGTTGAAGCCTAGATAACTTGCATATGATCTTGATTTTCCACCCCGCTTCTCTTCACTAGAAAAGATCTCATTCCAATCCCCTCTTATTACCTATTTATTCCCCCAACCAGATTTAGCACCCTCCAAGTAGTTCCACTGCTCATCTCTTTTTTCTTGTCCGTGCTATTACAAGATCACCCATTTGTTACCTTCCCCAATACTACCCTTGATCTCCACCTCCATACACAAGTTATTGTTTTTTATTTGGACAATCTTTGCCTCCTGTGACCCCAGCAGAAGCAAGCACCCACTTTGGACAACTAGGTCACTAGCCACCCATCTATCTTCAAATCCTATTTTTTTACAAACAGTCATAGTAAATTCCTTTGGCTTTCTGGTTTCAGACAAAAACATCAGTGTGGGGTGGTGGAGCCTAATGGCTTCCTTAACTAAGGATACTATTGAGGGCCCACCTAGACCTCTACAGTTCCACTGGATTGTCTTCATTAGGATGTTGGGATATTTTAAGATCTCGTTATGTACACGTCAAGAATTTAATAGCAACAATAAACCTATGCGCAACAGATCTAGAGGTTTAGAGTTGAATACTTACGGCTTAAAATTCGCGGACTCTGTGACGTTGTAGACTACCGTTGAAGGAAATCTTGTAATCTCAAAATCCATTGGGCAGTCGGATTCTTCTCGTCGGACTCGAGAAGCTCACGGGAGCGATGGCCGAGAGCAGCGTGCGTCGCGTCAGGGATCATCGGTGGTCGCACGGTGGCCGACGGCGTCGGGCGTCGTGATCGGGTGCTGCGGTGTCGCCGAGGTACGAGGATGTCGCGGCTGCGTACGGTAGGGGTGAGCATAGGTCAGTGCGGTTCAGAGATGGACAAATCTCCAGAACCGTACCAAAATTTGGAGATCACTAAATTTGATCTCCGGAACCGTACCCAAAAATCGGGACGATTCGGTTCGGAGATTTTATTTTTCGGTTCGATATTCGGGACTATCAGAACGAATCAATTCGGTTTGGTTCGATTTGAATCTCCGGAGATTCTTAATTATTTTTTATTTTTTTTTGAATGACTACCTAGTTATATTTTAATTTTTATATGCTTTTAAAAAATTTAACATTCGTCAATACTTCATAATATTAAAGATTTTATATAATATTTTTAAAAACAGGAAAAATTTAATTATAAATCAAATACTACTAAGACACACATTATCCATGAGTTCACATCCCATAATTCCAAATACAAATCCCATAATTCACAAATCACAATTCCATACGACATATTTATGATTTAGTTGTGAATTTTTCACAAATACATGTGTAATACCAAAAAACATTGGACCTTTTCCGTCTTCGAGCAGTGGGTTTTGACATGTCATAGTATTATTATTAAAAATATTATGGTAAAAATATCTATCAATTTATTTTTATTTGAAAATATATCATCTTTAAATAAATATTTCTCTCCAAATTTTGTGAAAGATTTTCTTCATAAAGGTCAGTTTCTAAACATTCTAAATTCGAATTTGGTTTATAATTAATGATTGTTTAAATAAAATTTGATACATTGGTTACCAACATTTGTGATATGAAAAGTATATTAATTTAATTTCTTTCAAACTAATGCCTTAGTAAGCAAATAAAATAATTATTTATTCAGTCATTTAATTATATTAACATTCAATAGTGGATGATTTTGCAATTCAAATTTAAATATAATATATGATAGTTTAAGAATATAGACCTAATGTACATGGATTTTATTTGCAATTCAACTTTTAATACAAATATGTACAAATATGAAAAGAAAGCATAAGTTGAAATATTATATTTATATGAATTTTATGAATTAAAATCGGTTCTTGTTCAGTTCTCTGTTCAATATGGTTTTTTTCGGTTCGGTTCGATTCTCGGTTCAGATATTTTATAGATCTCTAGAACCGTACAAATATTTTTTTTTTGGTATGGTCGGTTGAGATAAAGTCAAACGGTCAACAGATATTTTTCAGTTCGGGGTGAATTCGGTTCGGGTTTCAGAACAGTTCGATAATCTCCGAGTCCCATGCCTAGCACTAGCGTGCAGGCTGCGGCTCGTGGTGGCTACGGCGTCTCGCGGTCGTCGTGCGGTGGTCGTCGGCGATCACGGACAGTGGTCGGCCGACGACTTTCGTGTTTTAGGAATATATATCGATCACGGGGTCTCGGTACCTCGGGATCTTCTATTGTATATCTCGAGCACCTCTTTGTATTGTACCGGTGGAACAACAATACGAAGATAAAGCTCGACTATGGGAACTAGAGAGAGAGAGAGAGAGGCGACCAACGTGTATAATTTTAGGTTTGCTTTTGTGTCTCAATCCAATGAGCTTAATAATGTATATATAGAGCTACAGTAGCAATCATAAGGAGATGAGGATCAGGGTTGCTTAAGTATTGGGCCTAACTGTAAGCCAACCCCACTTTTGCCAATACTTAAATAATACTTCAGTCAACTAACGATATTATTATTGAACTCCCTTATCCTCCTTAAAATTATATTCAAGACTCCAATTACATTTACTCGAAATACCTCCCCATGTTTAAGATATAATATCCATTAATTATTTTAATTACTGATAATCAAGAATTAATTAATATATTATAATATCAAAGCTAGCGCCATTCATTACATTATTATTATGCCGGAACTTAATCAACATGCATGGTTTAGCATAACAACCTTCATGACTTCGGGAAAATCATCAAGCTGTCGCACATGGTGACCGTAGATATTCTAACAGCACATCGTAGATATAATAATATTACCCAAACAGCAAGTAATGTTGACTCAGTAAACTGAGTCTCACTTTCAGTGAATCAAAGTAATAGTTACCATATGTACATGTCAGTTTATATCTTATGGGTTAAGAGAACACAGTAATTAACCTAGACTTAAGTTTGTTTACGACAATCAGTATAAAACAAACTATTACTCTCTGGAATCCTGTTCAATACATAAATGTACTAGTGCAACTAATCAGTCAAGACCAAGGGTAAAGTTGACACTACAACCGTTCTGATGGTTTGTTCATTTCCATCTAGGTTGTGAACAAACAATTCTTGTTTCGCAAGTAATTGATAAAATGATCTTCTGTCACCCTATGATGACCCATTTTATCTATGTGAAAAACAATAGAACATAGAACTTGTTTAATCAAACATAATTCTCATTCAAAAAAGATAAAGTATAATATCATCTAAAGCTAAGCTTTCAGTATATTATACCAACAATCTCCCATTTATACTTAAAGCTTCCACTTTACAAGTATAGTCCTATTAATCCTTTATTCTAAAAGACCTATATCGATCATATGCTCATACATCTGACTCCCATTCCTTCCACGTGTTTGACGAAGACCTTTCCCGGCAAACTCTTCGTGAAAGGATCAGCTAGGTTGTCCTCTGATGGAATCTTGGCAACCTCAACTTCTCCTCTTTCTATGATATCTCGTATCAGGTGGTACTTGCGCTCTATGTGCTTGCTTGCTCTGTGGGCCCGTGGTTCCCTTAAGTTTGCTACTGCTCTACTGTTATCACAGTACACGGTGATACTTCGTGGCAAACACGAATCACCTCTATGTCGACTAAGATTTTCCTTAGCCAAACTGCCTATTTCGCTGCCTCAGAGGCCGCGGTGTAGTCAGCTTCCATAGTGGTGTCTGCTACACATTTCTGTTTAGCACTCCTCCGTGAAATGGCTCCACCTCCCAAGGTAAACACATAACCTCAGGTTGGCTTACTCTCGTTTCTGTCTGACTGAAAATCGGAATCACTGTAACCCAGCGGTAACAAACTATCTACATGGTAAACTAACATGTTCTCCTTAGTCATTCTCAGGTACTTGAGTATATGTTTCACCGCAGTCTAATGTTCCCGACCCGGATTACTTTTATACGTAGCTAATATCCGGCATCGTACGCAGCATAGCATACATGAGAATTCCTATTACTGAGGCATAAAGAACTGTCTTCATGTCCTCTATCTCTTAAGTTGTCTTAGGAGACATCTCCTTGGATAGAGTTATTCCATGTCTGGACGGTAACAAACCTTTCTTGGAATCCTGCATGCTGAATCTGGCCAAGACAGTATCTATTTGTGTAGACTGTGATAAGCAAAACATTCTCTTCTTACAGTCTCGAATTACCCTAATACCAAGAATGTGCCTTGCTTCACCCAAGTCCTCCATATCAAACTGCTTAGACAACCACACCTTTATGTTTGACAACTCCTTCTTACTGTTTCCAATAAGAAGTATGTCATCTACGTAAAGCACAAGAAACACCACCACGCTCCCACTGGCTTCTTGTACACAGAGCTGATCTGGACATTGAGTGAACCCGTATGAGTGAATCACCTCATCGAACCGGATGTTCCAACATATCGAAGATTGCTTCAGTTCATAAATGGATTAAGCTTACATATTAGATGCTCATGTCTCTTATTGATGGAACCCTTTGGTTGCTGCATGTAGATGTTCTCCTGAAGGTTTCCGTTAAGGAAAGCCGTCTTGACATCCATCTGCCAAACCTCATAATCAATATGAGTGGCTACAACCAAAAGAATTCGAATGGATTTGAGCATGGCTACTGGCGAAAAAGTCTCATCATAATCGATCCCGTCTTTCTGGCTATAACCTTTCGCAACAAGTCTAGCCTTGAAGGTCTCAACATTCCCATCTGATCCTCTCTTTCTCTT